TGAAGCAATCGACAATGCAATTATTAAATTGCAAAACGAAGACATTTCTAGGTATGTAATTATAAAAAGTAAAATAATTATTCATATTATTTTTTTTTTTTTTTTTTAAACAGGTATTCATTTGTTGCTGAAATGTCATATAATTATAAAAAAATATAATAATAGGTATATTCAATTCATTTTTATTTTTATTAACTATTTTATTATTTTATTTATATTGAACATAATGACCTAACAAACATTTTTTTTTGCTATGCATAAATTATTTTTATAAACTATTTTATTTGTATTAAACATAATACCTGACAAAATTTTTTTTTTGCTATGTATAAATTATTTATAGATATTAACTATTTTATTATTTTATTTATATTGAACATAATGACCTGACAAACATTTTTTTTTTGCTATGCATAAATGATAAATTATTTATTTAAACTATTTTATTATTTATTGGAGGAAAATAGAAAGTGGAGGAAAATGGTCAAGAATTATTTTTTATTTTTTTGGAGGAAAATGGTCAGTGGAGGAAAACGGTATCTCGTTTTTGGAGGAAACTGGATACGGCCGTATAACCACCGTATATCCATTGGCTAGATTAATTGTGAGAACCAGTGCCGTAACACTCAGTGGCGCCATTGGCAAATTTTCTTTTGGGGCTTATTTTTATTTCATTTTATAGGTATATTTTTTAAAAATTATTAAATTACATTATTACGTGTTGATCAAAATACTTATATTTTTTAAATTATTCAGTCATTAGAGTTAAAAGTAAGTCTTTAATTATAAGAAGTTAAAAATAAACAAAAAAAGCACAACGTTTCTTTTTACGTATAAGTAAAATATAATATGTTATGTTATAAAATACAATATTACAGTAAATCATTGTCATTAATATATAAGTGTATATTATTCTAGCCTTATAATACCGAAAAAATCTAAATTATTGAAAACGCGATGTATTCACTATTTAAGATATTAAAAAAAGGTACCTATTGGTACCTAATTTTCAATGGAAAAAATTAAAACTTTTTATTCAAAAACTACCATTTACAAAAATAATGAGCAAACGAAACTAACAGATTATTTCGATTAAAGTTAAGATTTCATTAACATAAATAAAATATAGATATAAATAAAATAAGTTTGATTAAAATGTCCCTATAATTTACCTATGCAAATTAAATTAAAAAAAATATGTAATATAAAAAGTTGTATAATATAATATCTGTGAATTCATCATATCGAAGTGGTATAATGTCTATCATTTATATTCTATTGCAATTTTCAAAGTCATTGCAGAAAACAGTTGATTAAAAATTCTAAAATTTCAATAATCGAAACAGACGTTAAAATCAAACATACTGCGGTCCGTGTGGTTTTATTTTACATAAATCATAATATTTTAAGTTCTGTATTCTGGTGCGTTTCTTCGTCAGTCGTCGGCCTCGCAGTGAACACACCTTACGGATTTCGCAGAAAGAGTGGATAATTAAAGTAAGTTTGTTTTCATTTTCTTTTAGGGCTCACATTTTCGTTTAACACTTAAAATAATTATTCAATGTCATGAAGAATGTGCTCTCCGAGTGTTTTATAGACCCATATATTAGTTCCGAACTAGAAATTCATAAAATAGGTACCCGAGATCGAATAGTACAAACGTCGCGCGTCGTATTCGTTTTTCCAGTCCTTGGTCGTAGAATAATAATAATAATTAAGGGGGCTGCAACGTAGCATATTTTAAGGAATACTATTTAGGCAATTCATGTGACATATTAATTAATACTGTATCTATGTGTGAGTAGTAAATGAACATTAGTGTGAGTAATCCGTTATCGCCATAGACCTATTAAGAATAATAGGTCTTTTAATAAGTCTATTTTTATCGCGTTGGTCGCGCTACCACAGTTTCCGAGAATCGCTGTCACGTAGAGTCGGGCAACCACGCCGGAAGCAACTCTCTCAAGCGCTCGTACATGTCAATCGTGAAAAATCAAATATATTCTTGTTTGCATGACTATAAAAATTATTAAAAGCGGTACTAAATTAATCATACTTCCCGAAGTTCGATTGTAATTTCGAAAAAATTGTTGAATTTATAAACTTCTAGACTATGCTTCTTGGGAATCACTTTTTTTAATTTAAAATCAGATGTGCCAAAATAAATGTATAACAAATGTAATGCAATTATTTCATGGGATTTCTAAAAAAAAATGGTTATTTTAAGGTCATTTTAAATAAAAAATTAAAAATCGACTTCCTAAGAAGCCTAGATATTTTATCAATGAATTTAAACATGTATAAAAAATTTAAATCGGACATTCTGAATTTCCGAAGTATGTGGAATTTACCACCGCTTATTGGTCTAAAACGTATGAAAAATACGTGCGCTGCAATCCCCTTAATAGGACCATTCCTATATAGGGTAGTTGAAATACACATATATATTTTGGTTCAGTTAATAGAGATACATGTTACAACTGATAAGTCATAGGTAAGATACAATTTTAAATTATCTGGTCATTTTTTTATCCAAATCCGAAGTTATAAGTTATAGATACCTACTAGCTATAACTATTAATTAAATATAACCAGGACCGGTGGCAATGGGGGTATGGTGGGTTGCCATACCCCCTTTGAATTTTTCTTAACTATCAGTCCGTATTTTCTGAATAACAGAGAGCTGTCAGAAATTATACGACTTGTTAAAAATTGTTTTTCTAGATTTTCTTAGGTTATAATTTTAATAATAAAAACGAGAACGGGTCCTCGGCATTAATTTGATATCTAAATCGGAAGTTACAGAGGATGACACTATTAATAGTTTACTATGTTATAAGAAATTTAAAATATAAGTGGATATTTATTATTTAATCAATGACTTTAATAATACCTCTTATAACTTTTTTAGTACCGTCGTCCATCGGTATGATATGGCTAATCGACCGATGCCGAATGACTTTTTTCAGAGAACACCGATTATTTGAAAAACTATCTGCAATTTTGAAAATAGTTATATTTTATACTACTTTTTTTTATTTCTATTAAAAAATAATGTATTTTATAATCCATGAAGGAGAATATTATTATATTTCGATCATTTCGATTTAGGTAAAACAGTCAGCTTTGACGAGTGGCCATAGTCGTAGAGTGATTCATTTTTTTTTTGGGGGGGGGGGCTGGCTATAGCCTTTTTGTTGTTGTAGTATGTCGGAACTTCTTTTGAATTACTCCGCAAAAGGGTTGTAATGATTCGGATACAGAGCATAATATTCTACAAAATATAACTAAAGAAAAATATAAAAAGGACTGTAGAACCCATTTTAAAGTAAAATATAAATAAATAATATACCACATAGGCGTCACTAAGGGGTATCGAGGGGTATTTTTCCTACCCCAGAAATGTTTTTGGGGTAGACAAATAATACCCTTCATACCCCAAAACAAGTCTTAGATTTGAAAATATATTCGATGTTTATTATTCAAATGTATACGAAAATAGAATATCTATTATTTTCTAAACATGTTCCATAAAATATTCTGTAAAACCACGGTTCTATCCTTTTATTTATTATCTATGATGGTAACTCAATTCTGATAAGGTGATTCACGCCAAAATGTAATGCAATAGATAAGATTCGGATTTTTAATTTTTATCAATCGATTCAATGGGCAAACACTATTTTTTTTTATATAGCGTTGGTTGATATATTTGATCATTTTTGATCTGAACAGATTAAATCGATTAAATATATTTAATATTTTAATCTAATCTGTAGTTGTGACAGTTGTGTGTTTATTTTTCTGTAGTACTCTGGTATAGAAGTATGAATTGAAATTATTGAATTCAATTTAAAACATAAAATATTTGTACAATTGTACATACCAGAATTTGGACTCTAGTGACGCCCATGATACACCATACATCATATTATTATCAAATACATATTTTGTATTTCAATTAAATATAAAAAAAAACATTTTAAATTGGAAATCATTACTATAGTAATTAGTAGGTATAAGGTTTAAAGTAACGCCTACTTTTTTTTTTCCAAATATATTAAAAACATCTCCAGAATCAATAATATTAGCTAAGTCCCTTTCAATATGAAGTAACGATAGATTTGAAAATCTATAACTTTTATCTTATTAGAGTTAAATTAGATTAGGTATACACTTGAATTGCAGAGGCCAGGCGGTTCTTTAGAGTTTAGACCATTCCAATGCATTACATAAGTTGCACTTTAAATTCATATTTCCGATAGGTAGTTCCTATATTTCTATAATCAATCGATTTATTATAATATTGAGATGTTATTAATTTCATGTTCAACTATATTGCTCCTCGATAAGCGCATCCTCTTGGCACCATTTGTGAAGCGGTCAAGGTTTGATTTCCTCTTTATGGGCATTATCAAACAAAATAAATTGCGATCAATAAAACGAAAATTCTTCAAAATTAACAACTAAAACTATAACAATCATAACCAATAGTAACCTCAGTCCTTACAATGAACAAAAATATATTATTATTTAGTTTATTTTCTTCCTGGACAAATGGCGCCACTGTTGTAGTTTTGACATCCAGATTTCCTACTTTTCCGGTGAATTTTCTTAAAACGTTCTTCATAAGAACCTTTTCATGACAATTACGAACACAACAAAAAAAGAATCAGCCAAATCAGTCAAGCCGTACAAGAGCCAATCCTTCACAAAGATTTCCATTTCACTTTTATAGGTATATAAATATATATATATATATATTTATTTACATTGATATTAATATAAAAATAATAATTATAAAACACACATAACTATTTTATCATTAATTAAATTTTAGAAAATCAAAATTGATCAAATTATTGATATTTATATATTTTAGTAATAAGCCCGCTGGGCGTAGGCGCATATACTACCTAAATAGTATTAAAAGTTCATTAAACTGACAAAAAATATATAAAAATCATTTCTATTTCAGAACACAACAATTTCCTGTGACAATGGACGTTGTCCTTGAACAAGGTGCTCTACAAGGACTTCAAAATAAAACACTTTTGTCGAACACGCCTTATGTCAGTTTTCTCGGCATACCCTACGCTAAACCACCCGTTGGCGACTTAAGATTCAAGGTAAACAATTTTGTATACACATTTTTGAGTACAGTAACTATATTATTTGAATACAATGTGTGTATCAGGTTTCGATTATTGGGTAAACGCTAGTTTAGGATGTACCGTATCCGCGTATCATACGGTCCACATGTTAACGTAATTTTAGATTCTGAGTGGAACGATGAATGTATTGATTTTACAATGATGTGTGTTTGTTTTTTTAATTTTTAATTTTTTTTTGTGTCTGTATACATGATAAGTAGTCGAAATAATGCTTCGATTTTCCACTTCAGTATCTTGCTCGATTGGAAAGTGAATAACGTTGGTGCATTGAGGAGGTCAAAATTTAAAATTCAAAGTAATTTTCAAAAGCGCCAAGAAAAACAAAAGAAAAATTAAGGAAAAACGGGAATTTTTACTCAAAACCGATTTTTCATAAATTAAATTTGGTTTTTGTTGTAACTTTAAAACAAATGACCGTAGATTCATGAAATTTTCACTAGTTGTTTATATTTTCATTTTTTATACACGATCACATTTTCAAAATATTTTGATTTATTTTGTACTGTTTAGGGACATTTTAACTATCCATTTTTTTAAGTTTTTTTTCTAAAAATGTTATTTGTTGGTTAAAAAAGCTTGAAAATTTAATAGAAGGCTCCTAGTCTATTGTTTCAAAGGCAGATGAAAAATATTAAAAATCCTTAGTCACAAGATTATTTACCTTTATAAAAAAAAAAAAAAATGTCTATATAAAAAAGTCAAATTATATTATTATGAGCGTTTGAAATTCATATTTTTATAACATTTGATATTCACCGAATTTCTCATGTAGCGATTTCCTTATTTTGTTGTAATTCAAAAACGAATAACTGTAGATACATGAAAATCTCAATTAAGTTTAATCTGTTTGGCCAAAAAGTGTAAAAATTTAATACAAGGCTTCTGATATATTTTTACAAAATCAGTTGAAAAATATTTATAAGACATTGGCACAATTTTTTTTTATAAGCATTATTAAAGATCGAATTTTGTCAAAATTTATCAAATTTAAAATTGAATTATTATTTTGTAGTTAAAAATTTATAAAATGTTCAATTTTATATCTAAGGATTGAAAATTTAAAACAAGATTCCACGTTAGTAGTTAATTCTGTTACCAAGAAATCTAAAAATACATAAGCACAGTTTATTTTTATAGTCATTTTAAGTTCAAATTTGGACGAAATTACATAAAGAAAACCTAGAATATCTAACTATTTTAGTTATTTTGTTGTGATTGTATAATAGTATTCGTGGGTAGGTACTTGAAACTTCTAAACCACACTATTATATATCTATGAATCGTTTTTCTTATACAATGATATTATATCATTGAATTCAAATTTAATACCATCCATTATCAGTGACTCACTTGTAACCTACTGTACACAGTGGCGTCAATTCAGTTTTTTCACATTTTTCAAATATATTTATAAAAATACAACTCTTTAACCAGAGCAACGTATTCGGGAGGGGGCAGCTAGTGCATTTGTAAGAAAAAAACGTGTATGCTATATATAATAGCTAGTAATATAATATATAACCAATGGCAACAGTCAGTCAGTCAGTCAGAACTCGTTGGACTATATTTATATTATATATTATGTATTATATTATTGACTATAGAGTAAGATGCAGTCAGAATATATTTCTTAAATTGAATTGCTGCGATAAAAACGGATAAGAAATGAATTTAACTTATATTTCTCTTTTATTTATATATTATAAATACTTATAATTAATTTATAATTTTAGAATATATAGCTTATAGATAGTATTAAATGCAGATAGCATTTGGTTTTATAGGCTCCAGTTAAACACCCGGGATGGTCCGGCGTTTTAGAAGCTATTTCGGAAGGAGACAAATGCATGCAGTTCGCTATCATGAAGAACCACATCATCGGAAGCGAAGATTGTCTGTACCTGAACGTATTGGTGCCACAGGTCGTAAAAACAGTTCTTACAGTATAATATTATAGCATTGTATAATTTGTTAAATGTGTATGCAATATCGTGGTAACTCACTGTTATTAGCAGAACGAACTGAATGAAAAACTTGCTGTTATGATATTCATACACGGGGGCGCCTTCAATTATGGCTGTGGATCAGTAAATGAATACTCCCCTGATTATTTGCTCGATGAAAACGTGATTGTCGTTACACTGAATTATCGTCTGAACGCCCTAGGTGATTATTCACAGATTTACAATTTATACCTACTATTATTATTCCTCCAAATAAATATGTTTTAATTACCTACAATATATAATTTAAAATGAAATGTACACAGTAATATTTCTAGCTTTTATGTGTGCGAAGTAGTCAATTATTTCTATTTCGTGGATTTTATGTGTATTTTGAGTTAAATATTATTGCGCACTCACTTCTAAATCGCCCGAGGTGTTGTCTCATCCAATACTCTTTTGTTACGGCACATCAATATAATAATAAAACTAACCAAATTCATCATACATTTTGTGTTCAGGATTTCTAAACTTGGATATTGACGAGTGTCCTGGTAACATGGGCTTGAAAGATCAACTATTTGCAATCAAATGGATAAAAGAAAATATAGCTGCGTTTGGGGGTGACGCTGACAATATCACTATCTTCGGTGAAAGCGCTGGGTCAGCGTGTGTTCATTATCACACGATGTCACCACAATCAACAGGTTAAATTTAAATATTTCAACATTGCAACTACAAACATTATAATTAATAATAATTGTCATAATTCATAATTCATAATATTACACCCCTCGGCAATACTCGATAACGTTTCGTGAATATAATAATTGTACAAAATACCTACCTATGTGTTTTAAAATAAGAAAGGGTAACGATAATATTATTATCATGTTTACAATTATGATATTTTATCGAATATCAACTACTACAAGAACCCAAACAAATTAATATTATATTCTCGATCCATAGACAACAGGCTATATGGATATAATAGAATAGACCAAGAATGATATAGGTAGCTATATTTTACGTGTAATACACTAAAGCCAATATATTGTGTGCGAGAGGGATAGACATTTTGTGGGCTATTATTATATGCCAATGCTAAGTTATAATATCATTGGTATAACCTCAGAATTATCTTTGATGAATCCGCAGATTTACCTATATGATCATGTTAGCTTCACATATTTTGTATTATTTCTAGTATATTATATTGTATGTCTATGATCAATATGAATATTGTAATTGACGTCAGATAACCGAACACGATGATAACTGTTAATATTTTTAATTTGTTTTGTTTAGGTTTATTTCAAAAAGCAATTATGCAAAGTGGATGTGCATTCAATATATGGGCGTTAAATGAAAATCACAGAGTTGTGGCCTTTAAGTTGGCCAATAATTTAGGTTGTTTAAGTAATGATCCCGAGGAAATAGTAAAATACTTAAAAAACGTACCTGCCATTGATTTGGTGAAGGAATCTATATTCAAGGTTTGTACATATTGCGTTTTAATATGTTTCTTCACAGGTACCTTTTCATATGGACACGAAGGAAAATATTAAGTAGGTACTGTAATACTGTACTATAACTGTATCTATATACGTGGTTCGAGTGGAGAACATTAATATGTTTAGGACTTAAGGTTGATCAAAAAATAGAAATTTAATTAATTAATCTGTATAATAATAATACACAAATACAATGAATTAATTTGTATGCTTATAATTAGTATTTACTGCCTAAATTCCACTATGAAAATGGGCAGTGTTGTGTAAATTAGTCAAAAAATATGTGCCGTGTACGATATAATATGGACTTAACAAAGTGGCTATGTTTACTTATTTTAACAAAATAACTAATTTTCAAACATTGACGAAAGTTCCACAGTTATTTATTCCGAGATGTTCGATCTTGTTTACAGTTAGAATAACTTCCGTCTTTGAGCTACGTGAAGATATTTTAATAATATATCAATTTATGTGCATGCTGGATGACTACCTCGGCGTGCCTGAATGAAAGTCGGCGAAGACTTTGGATATTCAAAACGAGCTGCCGATGGTGCCCGTATTGAACTATCCAAATTCACGCTTCATCTTTTAGTCTGGGAAGCTTAAGGTTTCAGAATTAACTCAGAAAAAACTGGAACTTTTTAACACATATTATATAGAAAAATCATCATGGTATTAATAAAATAATAAAGTGACCACAATATAACTATGGGGTCGAAAAGTAATTTTTAAGTAAGAAAACTATTGCACGTGTTTTTTAATATTTAGGTAGGTATTATAATAATATGTATAATGTATGCGTATTTTTAAAACTATCCGACCATGTTGATAAAATAAATATTTATTACCTTATTTAGACAGGTATAGATAGTATTATTAATTATTATTTATTTTTAAAGGATGAAACAGATTATCTGGAATACAAGTTCGCACCAACAATTGAAAGTGTCAAGGTCAGTTATCCATTTTTACCGGCTCATCCTGAACAATTAGTCAACGATAGATCTCCAATACCCGTAATTATTGGACTTAACAATATGGAAGGAATGATAGCATTAACTGGTAAATATATTTTTAATTAAACGATATTAATAATAATAATATAAGTAACTAATATTATTAAATTATATTTAATCTGAGAACATACTCAATATACATTTTTAAATAACTAAAAATATTAGTTATAGTTATACCTAACATACCTAATTCTTGTATAATGCAATGCAATCAAATATAGGTACCTACAAAAATAAACAAAAATATTTCATATAATAATCACATAACGAAGATGAGTTCTTCAAGAGTAATAATATTTAAAAAAAGTATTAAATATTTTTATATATAACAGTACTATTATACACGTTAACACGTATTACATTGATTGAGAATTAATAAAAAAAGTGACTGTTTTTACTTTTTGCTAGTTTAATTAATATTCTTCGATGTAAGATGTTTTTAATTGAACCAGAAATTTAAAAAGACAAATGTTTATAGTAATTATATTAATAAATAATAATGTTAATACAACTGTAATGTTTTCACATGTAGAGTACAGATTAAATCAATTGTCTGATGATCGCGTAACAGATGAAATATCAAAACTGTGTAAAAATCGATACAGCCCTGAAGTCATAACTAAAATAAAAGATGTTTATTTCAATAAATGTACTATTGAATCTGACACAACAAAATTGGAACACATATGTCACGTAAGCACAATGTATTGGTAATAATGTAAATAATTAATCGACAATATTATAATATGCATAAGTAAATTACTATTTAGAATTTATTCATAAAATATGATAGATTACTAAAGAAATTTGCATTTAAATTAATTTTGTTATTTGTTGTAAAAAACTACTATTCTATAGACACGTAATAATTATATATTTATATCTGTACGCAGCTGCACAGTGACGTGTTATTTCTCAAAGACTTCTATCGCGGCTTCGATAATTTCCTGAAACAAGACGTCGCACCTGTTTACAAATACGAATTTAAATTCGACGGTGAACTTAACTCTGTCAAAAACATGGTTTTTGCTAAGAGACCCGTTCTTCGGCACACCATAAAAGGTTATTATAATAGTATTACCTTTGTCGAAAAGTCTATTCATTGTTATCCCAATCGATAAACCCATCTGTGTGCACTTTTCTTTTAATTTAAATTTTTTTTCAAACATTTGTTTTTACCTATATCAAAATGTTAGGTAAATGTTTGTATTTATTCTGATTTGGAAAACGTAATCGTGATGAAAGAAACATTTGGGTTTTTATTAAATAACTTACAACAACATAGCCACATGGCTAAATATTTTAATTCAAATTTCAAAATATAGTGTCTTAACTCTTAAGTAGGTACCACTTATATTTCAATTAAATTACGTTAAAACTTGTTTCACTATATCTAAAAGAGTTTATCAAACACAAAACAATATATTGACTGAATAGTGAATAACAATTAAAAAAATTTCTATTTCGCATACAGGTGCATGCCATGCTGACGATGTTAATTATTTGTTCCATAGTAAACTATCTGGGGTCGTTCCAAAACCCAACTCTCCGGAACTCGAAATGTGTAAGATGATGGGTAAGATGTGGTCCAATTTCGCGAAATCTGGGTATGTTGAATTCGTATAGTTTATTATTAGTATTATGATTCCGTCACAATGTGACTGGATGTGTATTAACACGTTCGATTTGGTTTGATTTTAGTGATCCAAATTCGTCAGATTTAAGTTTCAAATGGGTTAACACGAGCGCAAGTGATCCAAAATACCTGTCAATAGATGGAGACAGGACACGGGTGGTCGAAGGAATGATAAACAGCAACAGATTACGTTTTTGGCAAGAGATATCGGAATCCGTTGTTTAGGTGATAACCAAAATAATAATTGTCTTCAATCATACTTAATTATTATAATATATACCTACACATAGTTTTGGAAAGTATTCAAATAAATGTATTCAAATACTTTTTTTATTCGAATATTTTAAATAATTTTTGAAAAAACTATTCGTAAACTATAATTTCGGTTTGCAGTATGTATCATCGGCACATAACATAATATTATACGAACTAAATAAACAGTTGAAAACTTATAAATAGCTTAACTTTAAATGATACTTCTTTAACAAAAAGAAAATAAATATAAATAATTTATCTGTTCGACCCAACATACCAAAAAACATAACAGAAACGCATGCTGCTATCGGAGAGTCATATATTCCACTTGTGTTTTTTTATGAACTAATAAAGAAACAGAAACACACTTACGTTTATGTAAATGTATTCAAATACTTTTTTTATTCAAATATTTTAAATAATTTTTGAAAATTATTCAAAAACTAATTAAATCATTCGAAAACTATAATTTCGGTTTGCAGTATGTATCGGCACCTAACATAATAATTTACGAACTAAATAAACAATTTGCAGTAGTTGTGCAAATATACAGTAGGTAAGTATATCGTGTGTTCTACATAACAACAGCAGAGAGCCATCAGATTGTATCAATTGTATGGTACACCATACAATTTTCACAATTTTTGAGCAGTTTACATTGACAGTTTTCAATTTTAGATTCTGAGTGAAACGATGAATGTATTGATTTTACAATGATGTGTGTTTTTTTTTAATTTTTAATTTTTAATTTTTGTGTCTGTGTACACGACAAGTAGTCGAAATAATGCTTCGATTTTCAACTTCAGTAACTTGATCGATGGGAAAGTGAATCTAGTTGGTACTTTTGGGAGGTCAAAATTCAAAATTCCTAATAGTTATCACAAGCGACAAGATTAACAAAAGAAAAATTAAGGAAAAACGGGAATTTTTACGCAAAATCGATTTTTCACAAAATTGAATTTGGTTTTTGGTGTAACTTTAAAACAAATGACCGTAGACACTTGAAATTTTCACTGGTTGTTTATATTTGCATTTTCTATACACTATAACATTTTAAAAATATTTTGATTTATTTTGAATTGCTTAAGGATATTAATTTCCATTTCATTTCCATTTTTTTTATTTTTTTTTCTAAAGATATTAATAAAATTTTATTTGTTGGCTGAAAAAGCTTGAAAATTTAATAGAAGGCTCCTAGTATACTGTTCCAAAGGCAGATGAAAAATATTAAAAATCCTTTGTCACAGTTTTTTTTTCTAAGCATTTAAAGTTCACAAATTGACAAAATATGGAAAAATCACGAAAATTAGCAAATTATTTTGAGTTAAAAATTCGTAAAAATTTTTCTTTTTAAATCTAAGGTTTTAAATGTAATACAAGATTCCTCATAAGTTTGTCTACCTTTATCAAAAAAAAAAATGTCTATATAAGAAAGTCAAATTATATTTTTATGAGCGTTTTAAATTCAAATTTTTACAATATTGAATATTCACTCGATTTCTCATGTAGCGATTTCCTTATTTTGTTGTAATTCAAAAACGAATAACTGTAGATACATGAAAATTTCACTGAATGTTTATATTAGCATTTCTTATACACCATACAATTATGAAAATATTTTGACTCTTTTTGAGCTGTTTACGGACATTTTCAGTTTTCAATTTATTTAGTTTTATTACATTGACCCACTTGTAAGCTACTGTACAGCAGAGCGACATCTACCTACCCACCTTTTTCTTTTGAAAATATTTAGTCAGTTATTAGTTTGTCAGCATGATATCCGTCCACCCGAATGTATGAACGGTGATTGGAGGTTTTACACGTCCATTAGGCTTGGAACCATTACCATAATATGTATAATATTTATATTTAATATTATACCTATATTTTGTCAGAACTGCACTTTTAAGTTTAATTGTTCACACTACGAGAAGTAATGAAAACATTTTTTACTCCATGATAACTAACCAAAAGTTGGAAAAAATTAAATCGCAAAACTGATTTAATCTGCATGTTTATAACGTTAATAACTGGTAAAAAAACCCAAGTTATATGAAAAATGGCCAAGTCAAAATATATAAATTTACATTTAATAAAATAAATGTAATTTGAATAATATAGGTGCGCTAACTTCACGAAAGTGTATACCTAACACGTCATAATATAGGAAATAAAAAATGTCTATATTGTGCAAACACAGACACACAGTATGTTTACTTAGTCGGTAGGTGTTATACGTATAATAAACACTAAAGTATTATAATATTGGATCTATTCAGTATATAATATTCTTTGCAAAGCAAAACCTATTCTCGTTCTTTGTAGTTGACTGAATAATAAATATGTTTTCTTATAAAGGATTAATAACATTAACTGTGACATTTATTACAATATGCTATAGTTCCTTTGCAGGTAAATAATCACTAACAATAATATTATTGTACTTATATTAAAATATAAAACTGATATTGAGTAAGAATCATAACACCAATAACCATATATTTATTATGAAAGTGATTATCAACAAAATAATAATGTATACATTATAATATCGACGTAGATCTATAATTTAAAATAAATGTATCAAATACCAAATATGAATTTTGTGTGACATAATATTATTCATTAAAATAGAATAATCAAATCTATAATCAGTTTGAAAAAACAATTCGCTTATGACTTATGTACTATTATATTGAAGACAAAAATTATATATATTTTTTTAAATTCGGGCATATTCAACAATTCAATATAAACAATTTTTAGTGGACTGTTATATTATGTATGGTTATATTTATTTATTATATTTAATATTTGTACTATTATTATTTTTAGTATATAATATGTTTATTTATTATATTTATTCATAATTTTTTATTGGGATAGCCAAAACAACATAGATTATGTTCACAATGTTAAATATAATGTTTTACATTTTGTACAGAAATAAGGGAAAATGAGGGAACAGTATAATATATGAATATATTATGCTAATGTATGTAACAAGTATAACCAAACCAGAGTTTGTGATACAGTTTTTAACTAAGCAATAAGCCAATAACCATGAATTAATATCATAATAAATTACATAAATATTTGGAGTACATTAATTGGAGTACATTAATCTACCATATAATATATTATATTAAGTACGTAATATTCTCCCAGTGTACAAACTTCACATTTCAGTGTGAAAACATCATTATATTTATTTAATTCAGTTATTATTTTTATATTTAGCGATGATGTCTAGAGGTATTATATTTCATACTAGTATAATATAATATATTAATACAGTTTACAATTTATTTACACAACACAATCATAATATAGCAGCATTTGGAGATACTTTTGAAGAATCTTTTAGCTTCTGAGAGGAGAAATACGTTTATTTATTTTACAATTATATGCATGTTAATTTGAATAAGATTGTTTGATTATATTGTCAGTTGTAAGTTGTAACCGAGCCATATAGTTTGTGTCTTTGTGATACTTCTTTATTATTGATTAGAACATTTTTAAACACACAAATCCGCAATAGCCATAATATTTTGGAGTACAAAAATTATTAATTAACCATATTATAATATTGATAGACATTAAATATATGCACGTAATATTAATATTAATTCACACATCATATTTAAATGCCGCTGTATTTAATTCAGTTATTTTATATGTTAAGACGAGTGCAGTGGTAAGTGACTTCTTATCACCTAAATACCTATATTTGATATTAGTATTGTTAAGTACCCTTGAATATTATATATATATTTTTAATGTAATATGGCATTTCGTTGTACCTAATTACAAAACACTGCAGTGACTCTACGACCGTGGGATCCGCTGAATAAGGGTTTTTGTATGTGACTACAAATATGTTAGAAGCGCTAGAAATGAGGTGTTGGATATGTGAGACGGCTTATATGTCAGCCAAATAATGCAAGACGCGAGAGTCACTACTTACAAGGAGCTCAAAGACATGGCGAGTGATAGAGAAAGATGGAGAAGACATTTGTTGTGAAAAGAAAAATTGTTAAAAACCAATCTAAGGATTGAAAAACTAAAACTAACTAAATAAATCTTTATTTTGATTTTAATGCAAGAAGGCCGTATACGATTATAATATGGCTTTTATCGATGTCTGTTTCAAGAAATATTAATTTTTAATGTGTTTATTATTTAATAGATAAAAAATAAATTAATACATTTTACAATTTGCTTTGATTATTTTGTTATCACGGGCACTCGATAGATTTTTATACTAAATGATATATACTACCACATTATGACATATGTTGTAAGTTTTTATATGGATGAGAAAAATGTCCACTATGAATAACCAGTTGGAGGGGGGAGGGGGAAGAGAGCATTAAAAACGGTGTAGTCAGGGCAGCAAAATCCTAAGTACTGGCTTGTCAATGACATCGGATCTATAGCATACGTACGTCACACCAGCCCCCCCGCCCATTTTCAAAATATTGAAAATTTATTTTTCTATCTTTTAGTATGCTTTTTGTACGAATTTTTAAGCATTGTTACAGAATTTGTATAAACAAAGTTCCGGGGGGATATAGATAAACCCGAGGGGGGGGGGGGTGGTGAGACTTCACACCAGCCCCCGACATGGGTTATTTGAAATTTTTTTGTATCAATACTTTGCTTTCTATTCGTACGTATTTGTAACAATGCTTACAAATTCGTACAAAAAGCATACTAAAAGATAGAAAAATAAATTTTCAATATTTTGAAAATGGGGGGGGGGGGGCTGGTGTGACGTACGTCTATATCATTAGTCATAAATATCTTATATTAAAGCTAACTAAATTATCCACCTACCTACGCATTATTACTAAGTTAGATTTTTTTTTCTTATTTACCACCAATTATTGGATTTTTCAAAATTAAATTTATCATTATAATTAGTAATATCCATGCTACTCGATTAAAAATTAAGAAAATTAAATTTT